AGGTACGTCGGGTTCTTGCAAGTCAACGACGTTGAAGACGTAGGGCGACATGGTGCGAGCCTCGGAGACGGACGATTTCGGATTCGAGCGTCCTTGTGCCAAGCTGCAGAGCAGACTCAGGCGTAGCTTATCACGCAACTCTTCGTTTTCGTAGCAGAGGAGGTAGCAGTCGGCGCCCGAGAGACTGAGCGTCGGGCTGTTTTTGCAGTGGGGATTGAGATGGAAGAGGGCGTAAATGGCGCCTCCGCGACTCGGCGTTGCAGTGCGAAACGGACGCACCAAGCTCAAGAGCGCGCGGTTCTTGATCGTGTTGTAGAGATAGCTGCTATAATCACGCGTGCCGAGGCTGGGTAGTAAACCTAACCGCAGTTGAGAGCGAGAAACGTGACTGGGAGGACACTACGCTTTCGCACGAAGGCCGCAGTAAAGCCATAGGTGACGGGCATGCAGGCAATGCTGAGCGTGTAGACCACACAGCCGAGCACGAGTTCATTTTGCTGACTGATCTTTTCGGGTGGAACTGGGGCTGTAAAGCACCATTGATAGGCCGTCGCCAGCACAGCAACGTTTCCACTGAGCCACGAGACGAGCGGACCGTAGAGAGTGACGCTGATCGCGACCATGGTCGTGTCAATGTCGGCAAACAGGTGTTGCTTGGCATAGCGCCGCAGATAGAACGCCGTGAGGCAAAGTGCAAAGTACCCAAACCAAACCTAGTCCGTGGATACTTGGATACTAAATGAGGACATGGATAGAGCAACACACCGTCCGAGACAAGTAGAGGATGTTGAGCATGTTGACGGCGAGGTCGCCGTTCTGCGAAGCGCGAAGGACCGAAACGCCGACGTTGCCGATGCTGAGCCAAATGTCGACAAGAAAAGCCAACGCGATCATCGGATCCATGAGGATAATGGCGGTTGGATCACCAAGTACGAGCTCGTAGCGCCAGTTTGCTGTGGGCGGCGTTGCAAAATGGCTCGCGCGCGCCAAGCGTCGATGCAGCCCGACACAGTGGCGATAGTACTGCGTCCAGAGACGATGTATCACAACGAGTGTGGTACCAATGCGATAGGCAAACTTGCACCAGAGCCATTTGTAGTACCGCGTCGCAGTATAGACATATGTCAGCGTCACGGCGTCCGGCTCGTTTGAGTTGGTGAGCGTGTTCCCGTGGTCGACCCAGTAGCACGACGTGCCAACGTTCTGCGACGAGACCGCGTTTGCAAAGCACCCACCAGGGGTACATAATAGGGGGTGTATCACGGTGGGCCTATTTTTATACTTGGCTGAAACAGTGTTGCGGGGGGAAACTGTGAAGAGGGCCTGAGGAAATATTTTTATAATAAAAAACGACTTTTCGAAAAATATAATGACTTTCGACATTTTATGAAGAGCGGCGATCTTCGCGGCCACGGCCAGTTCCATGGCTCTTGCACACGCAGGAAGCATCGCTGCCTTGCACGGATGGTGCCATTCGACGCGCAATGATCGTCTCTACGGGCTAATGTATTACAATATTTTTTATAAGCTGTGGTCTAGGAGTTATTCCAGGAAACGTTGCCTGCTGAACAAGATATTGAGTGAGCATCTTGAGGCATCGAGTTGGCAAGCCGCCGGGGGCTGCCGGAGGATGGGCTTTCGACAGCAAGTGCATTAGATCAATGAGAGTGTACAGTCGGAAGGGATTTTCTGTTTTGGTCGTCTTAGGTACCTCACGAGCACCTTCGTGCATGGTCCGAAGTCGGTCAATTATCATATCCGTCTCAATTTTTATTGCCGAATCGACACCGATCGAAGATCGCTCATACAAGAAACGGCGGCAAGGCGTGACCCGCGATGAGCAAGCCATCACCACGATGCAGCGCCTGCAATGCAGAGGCGCGCGTGCGTGGACCCCAGGCGCTGCGCGCGGGTAGCGTGGGTCCAAACGTTCAAGAACATGCACCGCGAAATGAAGCGGCCGAGCGCGACAAGCTCTTGAACGACATGCAGCTCTCGGCGATGCACGCTCGCATTGGCATCGTGGCTCGCCGGTGGCCGAGAGAGAGCACGGGCCGTAGCAAGGATACAAGCAACGTCATTGCGCTGCATTCGTACCTCGAGGCGACGACGGGGGCTGGCGCCAAAGCTGCAGGTGGCAAGAAGCGCGCCCGCGACGCCACAGACAAGCCCAAGGAGCCCAAGCCGAAGCGCGTCAAGAAGCCCGACGTTCGACGCAAGCTAGATTTGCCTGTAGCAGCGTAGCACGTTCTACCCATTGACGTTATCTATCCCAATCTATCCTGCATGCTTCTACTCTGATGCACTGCCAATGCATTTCATACACTATTCTATTTTATCGTAAACCAGTGAAATAGAGTTAGGTTTGACCAGTGAAATTTCCTCGTCCACTCCGAGCCAAATCGGGCAGTTTCCCCCCGCGACACTGTTCGCGGATTTTGAATAAAAATATCTTGAAGTTTGTAGGGTGATACACCCCCTATTATGTACCCCTGGCACCCACCGGGCGGAATGAAGGACTGGCGCGTCGCATTTGCCT